ACTTCACCACTTCATCACTCACATTAAGAAGACTCTACAGGTGAATACATGAACTCATAGATATCACCATCAAACTTCACCACTTCATCAGTCACATTAAGAAGACTCTACAGGTGAATAGAGTCACAACATGAATTCACAGATATCACCATGAAACTTCACCACTTCATCACTCACATTAAGAGGAGTATTTATTGTATTACAAGTTTTATGAAATGTTATGTTTAAATATGTAAATGAGGCATTATGTAATGGTAACTTTTGTGAATTTAGTAGAAATCTACAGACGCAAAGTAGCAAAATAAATGTTTTCTTTCCTCTTGTCTGTTATGGAAGAAAAATAGACCAAAATCTCTAAATTGATCATTGATCATAGAGTCTAAATTAATAACAAAATACACTCTCAGCTTAAATGAAATGACACACACAGTATCTTCAATTCTCTGGAGGCTTCTGTAGATGTAGAATACTAATATTGTCGGTATATAACAATCATAATAAGGAATAAATCACTCTGCCTTTGGATTACTGTAACACATATTACCTAATCTCAGAAAATCAAGACAATCAGATCATCGGGACAGTGCACTAAATTTACGTCTCTGGGTTTAGAGGCTTACAGTAGAGCACTGCAGAGACGTTCACTTCAGGAATAACCCTCAGAGAGTACCTGCTCCTCCTCTAACGCCCTGTGAACCTGCAGGTCGTGACCCTCTGCCCTGAGCCTCCCCCCACTGGGCCACCGACATAATCTGCCTTGAGAGGATTTATGTTACGAAACCTGAACATGTCCACACTTTCACACATCATCGGCTGAATCTATCCCGCTCCACTTTGTTCAGACCGGCCTCAAAAGAAAAGTAATGTTGATATGAAAACGTCTCTCGCTCACCCGTATGATCCGCTTCACCTCCTGCCTGTCCAACTTGCCGTTCCCATCCTTGTCGTACATCTTAAAGGACCACTTGAGCCGATCCTCCAGATTCCCCCTCAAGATCAGGTGAAGTGCCGTTACGTACTCGAGGAAATCCAGTGTGTTGTCCTGCAAGCAAATAATGCAGAGTTGCACAAAAAGTTCCTTTAGTACAGCACCTTTTATAAGATAAAACAGTAAAAACAATTAAAAATAATCAATAAAACAGATAAAAACACACAGGTGACACAAAGGCCAGTTTAAAGTCTTCCACCGTGTTTAAAGACAGTCAGCTTCAGTAGCTGTAGCTGGAGGGACAACCAGTAAACCCTGGTCAGAGGACCTTGGTGACCTACTGGTACAGGGATGGGGATGCAGGGTGATGTAAATAGAAGCCATCACAACACATTCTACGATGACAATCGACTGTGTTTCTCACCTTATTCGTGTCAAAGGAGTGGAATACCGTCTCGATGTAGACGGACTCCTCTGCAGAGCTGCTCGCCACCCCGAAGATCCTCTTGAACTCGTGCAGGTACAGGGCGCCGCTCGGACACTCCTTCATGAAGGCGAGGCACAGCTCCTGAATCTGAGCCAGCTCCATCTCCTCATTGTGGCTCTCCTCTTGTCCCATGGCCTCCTGATTACTTTGATGGAACAAAGTGAGTGAAAACGATGTGCTTGTTTGAATGAAAGTTGTCCGGAGGTCACTGAGGCATCTGCTCACACGATCCAACCAAACTAAAGAGCTTTGCAGCAGCGTCCAGCTGCTCTCTGAGCAGCTACTAATCTCATTAACTCGTTAATCACTTGATCTTTAGTGCCAGAAAGTCTGAAAAATCTGGCAATGCTGTCGTCACCGAGCGCCAGAAACGGGAACATCTGTGGTCTCTAGTTAACGATAGAACAGATAGAGTCCATTAAACAAAGCAGGCTGTCTGTCAGCAACATGTCCAACTATCAGAATGTTTATATGATAATGAGGGGGCGTGTCCACGTGTGAGCGAGGCAGGGATTGGTCCAGAGTATGTGTGTGTGTCAGTTATTTTTATCAACTGACCTGAGATTAACAGAACTAATACAACACCAGCTTTTCTTTCTTTTTTAGCATCTTATTGGAGGTTAAAGAAAAAATATAAATCTATATATTTTTGTAATAAATAGTAGATATTCCTGTAAAGTATAAAAAGCTAACTATTAAACAATAACAGTTTTTTTTGTTTATGCACTCTATGAAATGAATTCTATAAAGGTATTATAAAAAGGTATTGTCTAAAGGTATTGTTTAAAATAAAATAAAAAATAAAAAAAAATAAAAAATCAGTGTGAATATCTTGTATGCATGATTATCATGCAATTGACAGACAATGTTGATGTTGGCATTGGTATCAGCTGACAAGGTATGTTTATAAATGGCAGTGGCACGGCCACCCTACTCACTGTACCTTGCACATGTGTAACATAAAAACATGAACATATGAACCTGTGTATTATTTGAATAACTTAGTATTGAATGCACAATAAAGAGGTATGTTTATACATGGTACTAGGCCCATTTAATATAAAACACTATTTTATACAATATGTATAGTCGGGGGTCCCTGCTCCATCTCTCTATCAGTTTGGGGGTCCTTGGCCTGAAAAATGTTGAAGACCCCTGAAAGGTATTGTCTAAAGGTATTGTATAAAGGTATTGTCTAAAGGTATTGTATAAAGGTA